ACAATGCAATCATGAGAAATCAACATTTTAACAATTTCAATGTAATTAACAGGGACGGTAAATACGACTTAGGTAATCCCTAGGTTGGTGTCTGCAAGTTGGCTTAACAAGCACTACCAAATCCCCACTTTACTAGTAGCTAACCGGAAGGCCCGTGGTACCTCATCTATGCATGTTTTCGATCTTTCACCATGGACACTCAGACCAACGTAACCAATACTATCTACACCCCCTATCCGGACTTACCAATGTATTTACCTCAAAACAAATCGATATGATCTTGTTTCACAAATCAATTTCCATTCCCAAACTAATTCTTTTCCAATGCAATATTTAAAATCAATTACATCAATGATAAAAGAGGATGGTAATGCAAGTTCCCAATGTAGTAATGAAGTTTCATTAAATAAATCTTAATCTTCTCAATTCATCCACACAACCTTCCATTGTGATCAATTTCTACATCTCCATCAATGCAAAATCATGATACATTATAAGAGATAAAATAATACAACATTAGCCTTTGAGCATCTTCAATATATCAATCAACTTAATATAATTCTCTATTTTTCCACTTGGTCATTTCAAGACCAAACATTAATAAGCTATACAACAAGCCTTAATTAAATTACTACTCATTTTCTTTCCGCGGAATTTCTTCTTTATGCACAATCATAGGAACATTCCAATCACACATTCACCATAATACTTAGACAACCATAGATTTCATCGCATCACAACACCATGACATTTCTCAAAACAAATCCCCAATTTCTAGCGTTTCCACAACTAGGTTTTTCAGCATTTTTTAAACGATATTCCCAAAACAACCTCCCTCCTCAACGATATAGTTCATACTCCCAAAAGTTTTTAGAAAATATTGAGAAAACCCCTTTTTAAATCACCAAGAACTCATGAATCAAAATAAAGTTCCATACCACAAGAGGAAGTTCCAAAATCAACATAAAATTGCAAAAATGTATATATAACTCAAAGATTTTCCCTACCTCAAGCTTTTGGAGAAAAAGAGAGAAGAAACCCCCAAAATCAACAGTGTTGAAACTCGATCTCTACCGTATAAAACGTAGCCCTCGAAGAGTTCTCCAACTTTGATGAAAGGACTAGGATTAAAACTTTAATGGATTTGGCGAAATCAAGAGTTTAATATAGTTTGGTGAGGGAAAAGTAGAGAGAAGGGAGAGAAATGTGTTTTAGAGAGAGAGAGAGAAGAAAGAGAAGTGAGGTGGGTGTTCAGCCCAAGAAAAGAAAAAGTATAAATTTTCGGACTCAGCGCACTTTCACACGTGTGGCACCCATTTCCGCACGTGTGGCACTCTCCCCTGCACGTGTGGCTCACTTCTCCGCACCTGCCCTCTACTCGTGTAATTAAAGTAGTACTGCACCATTGTCAACCCCACCTCACCGCACATTCGACCTCACCTCCCGCAGGTGCGGCCCCACTCTAGCACGTGCAGCCTAAGCCCCCGCACGTGCAATCCTGCCTTCCTCCTAGGAATTTCACTAGCCAAACCAGAGATAGCTCTGATCGAATTTTGCACCTTTCGAAACAAGTGATATTCAACTCTGGAGCAAAATAAAGGCGAGAATCTGAAGAAGGTTTCAAGAGCGATGAACCCAAACAGTTGACAAGACCTCAAATTAATCCCTGACACTCCTAACACGAGTGGGCTAATCACAAATAAAAAGGAAAACAAGATGGGTTACGTATCCAGTCATCACAAGTTTTAGACGGATTGACAGATTGAAGAATATTCTAACAAATTATCAAACATTTGCATAATATATACCACTAATTTGCATAATATTTTATATATAAATAACACAAATTAATTTTACATAATATGTTTCATATATATAACTACTAATTTGTAAAAAGTTTCACATCTTAAATCTTCTCACACTCATTTTTAATTTAATATTTCATTGGAGGTTAAAAAATATATATGTATTAATCATAGCAGAAAGGAGCGGTTTGAAAGATGGATTATAAATTTTAAAATTTAATCTGTGATTAACAAATAGAGTAGTACGAATTAATCTGAATCGGTATAATTTTAACAAATTTGACAATATTTTGCACAGCCTACCATAGAATTCCCCATGAACTGAAATACACGTTAGAGGAAATGGCTATCTTCATCTTAATGCGTCTGGATCATGCTTCGTGTGGGACCACTATCATCTTGACTCTTGACTGAGCTATTGTAGTGGGACCATTTCTTCTTCCTAATGTGTTTGGATCATGCTCCGTGTACTCCCTCCCACCATAATTGTCTTCTTGACTCTTGACTGAGCTATTGTAGTGGGACCTTGACACATGTTTCAATCTTAATTATATCTGTTATGGTCCTTGCTTACATCGTTTTTTCTTGTAAATAAATTTTAAATTATGGTTCACTAAATTTTGCTTACAATTTATTTAAAAAAATTATTTGGTACATTATCTATATCGTATTTTGGGAAGTAAATTAAAAGTTAATTTTTAATTTTTAATTTTTTTTAAAAAACGTGTAAAAAAATAAAGAGGCGATGCGATCCAAAAAATCAATAAGTCAAAAAGATGACTTTTAATCAACTTGTCAAAAAAGACTTAACATTGCTTGTATACTGTTTCTGAAAAATTAGCAATTACAAATCACATCTCTGAATTACCTAATTAAGGGCAAAATTAAAAATTGTCCATGGTGCCAATCGAGGAATGTGCCAAAAAAATTGAAGTAATTTTTCTACATTACTAATTAAATAAAATTTCTCAAATAAGCAATTTTGAAAGAAGTATTTCATGAACATAAAAAATAAATAAATAATTTTGACAATTTTTTTCTTTTATTTCTTTTTAAATTTTGAAATTAAAATATAATTAGATATCAATATATAATCGATTAGATTACGCTATAAGTTATTTTATTAGTTGACATAATTTATTAATAAATTATGTCATTAGTCTCTATATTTTTATAAAATTTATGACTAAACAATTTCCTCAAAAGGGACTTTCTACTAATTTTCTTTATTTTTAAATGTATATCTCATGAAAATTTTCTTTATTTTTATTCCCCCCTTACATTCATTGAACACAGCCTAAGTCAAGTCAATTACAATTTGGATTGTTGCAAAATGGTGGCTTAAAATAACTGATAGGATCACAAATGCAAAATCCATTTTCATCCATTTAGTAATTGACCTTTTAAATATTTTTTTATTTTTTTTTTAAAAATATATATGTAAAAAAATAAAAAATAAAAAAATAGGTAGAGTTTGATATTATTTCTTAACTTTTTAACTAAACTTCTAAATTCCCAAACATAGATTGTAAAGTTGTGGTACATGATCATGGCTTCATCCATGAGAAGGGCAACAATATGGGTGGTTAGATAAATTTGGTTTGATTTTGAGGTAAATTAACAATCAAATTAGTTGTTATCTTTTCCCCCCCCCCAAAAAAAAAAAAAAAAATTAGTTGTTATTATTCTCTAAATTTATGAATTGAACTGAACCGTGAAACTTTAAAAGTGAATCAAAATTGAAACCACCACTACAACAAAAAATAGGTCTTTGGTGACAAAAATGCATGATGAAAAAAAAAAAAAATTGTCTCCAAATATACATGTTTTAGAGATAAAAGTAAGATTCCATCTCCAATTGTAGTATTTTGAGAGAGAAAAACCAAATTTTGTCACCAAATGCTTAAAATTAATAAAACAATAGGTGACGAAAATTTTATTCGTCTCTATATTTTATTTTTCGTCACAAAAAAATTCTCGCCTTTGGAAAATTTCGCAGAATATTTGGGCGCTATTTTAGAGATGAAAATTTTTGTCACCATTGTACAAAATTTCCGCAAGGAAATAATTTCGTCTCCTATAGTTTTATTATACAAAACGATGTCGTTTCATGCTATAAGTGAGAAGCCCTATTTGTTTGCCCAAATCAGTTCCTATTTTGTAAAGCCCTCTTTAGATTAGACATGAGTACCTGTTTAAATGGATGTTTCTACCACCATTGCCACAACTCCACACCACCACCATCTCTGCCGCCACGGATCCATTACCACTGCCGCTACTGCTACCACCACTCCACCACCACCTCTCATCCACTTCCATCGCCACAACCGCCAGTACTCTACAACCACTGTCGCCACTTCTTCATTACCGTTGTCACTCCACTACTACTATCACTACTACCACTACCTATCTTCGACTACCACCATCACCACTCTACCATTGCCGCCACTAACTCTCTTCCACAACCATTACTACCACTGTCACCGTCCCCACTTTACCACCATCACCGTTACACCACCACCACTACTACTTCACCACCACCATTACTACCACTGCCACTATTCCACCATCGCCGCCCCCGCCACTGCATCACCACCACTACCACCATCACCTCTCTATTACTTCCACCACCACGACCACTAACACTATCCCACCACTACCATTACCACTGTTGCTGCTACCATTTTTCTTCCACCACCACTGCTTTATTTTACCACTACTGTTGCCACCACTCCACTTCCACCGCCGCCACTCCACTACCACCACTAGCACTCTATCTCCACCACCACCACTAGCACTGCCGGCGCTCCACCATCACCACTACCACCACCACCACTAGCACTCCACCTCCACCGAACCCATTTAAACCCCTTTATTAAATAAGTGAGTTTGAATCAATTTCATTTGGTTTCAGTTTTCAAAAACTATTTTTCAAGTTTCAATCCTTATTTTTTTAATTTTTAGTGAACTTTTTAATATTTTAATCATTTTTTTAATTTATTAAAATATATTTTAATTGATTAAAATATTGAAAAATTTCACTTAAAAAAATACTAATTAAAAACTCAAAAAATAATTTTCAAAAATTGAAATAAATTTTTAATACAAAAACTATTTTGACTCGTTCAAATCCGTCCGTTTGCCACGTCTGCACACACACCCAAAAAAAAAAAATTCCATTGAAATTCCCCCCATTTTTCTTCTTCTTTTCTTGCTCACAGTCGCTCATCTGTCTCTCAGTCGCGCTCTTTTCTCTCTCTCTCTCTCTCTCTCTCTCAACGGCGTAGGGTAGCAAAGGCGGCGGCATGTAGCGGCATCCAACAGGGGCAACATCTCTCTCAGTCACTCATCTCTCTCTCTCGCTCAGTGGCACCTCTCTCTTTCTCTCAAACGCATTCACTCAATCTTAATCGCCTCTCTCTCACTCACTCAGCGGTGTAGAGCAGCGAGGTGGCATAGAGCGACTACGAGTAACGGCAACAAGTAGCAACAGTGGCAGTAGCGTCCCACTCCATCGTCATCTCCTCTAAGTCCAACTGCCCGTATGCTCTCTCTCTCTCTCTCTCTCTCTGTGAAAATGTTGTTAACAATTCGACTTAGCTTTAAAACTAATTCAGGAAACATGTTCGCACCTTTCACACATGAATTCGCCGTAGTCTGGAACTTAATTGAAGGGAATTTTAGTTCAATTCAGGTTGCTAGGGCTTCAAATTAGTTCAGATAAGGTTCAAATCCATCAAATTTGACTTAATTTGAAATGATTTTGCAAATTCAAACTCGAATTAGGGCCGGAGGCAGCTTCACAGAGCGAAGAAGTTTTTCTTGCCAGACCATTATGATGTACAGAGTGCTCACATGATAGAAGGTAAGTGCATTGTCCATACTTTCAAGAATCACACAAAGCTTGAGAATGTTAGGGCTGAGGATTACTTTTGTCAGTTAGAGTACAAAGCTGCCACAAGAGGGTTCACTCCAGACCGTGTGGCTTTGTGAGTTACATTTCTATTCGATTTTGGATATGTGTTAGTTTGTGTGATTGGTTTTGACTAATCCACTGTTATTCTATGATTTCATTTTTAAATTCATTTGAAGGTACTGCAAGTGTGAGATGCCATGAGAGGGTTGCAAGGACTGGTGTGTTTCTTTTTTCTATATAGTTTAACTGTATTTGTGCCTATCTTTTAGTTTAACTAGACGATGATTTGAAAAATTACTTCGGTGTCATGTTAGAGAGTTTAGAATGAATTTGATCATGTAAAAAACATCAAATTTTTTCCATTTTGAGTGTTAAAGGATTTGTATGTGGAATTACAGATATAGACACAGTTGCTCTTACTCACACTCTTAGTCCTTGGAGTCCTTGGAGTCGAGGCTTACAGATCATGGCAAGGATCAAACCTTACGTTCTACTACAACAAAGGAAGAAGAAGAAGATTCCTAGTCACATTAGTGTCACTATAGTTATTTTATGCAGCTTAATTATTGTTGTGATGGTGTTTTTCTTGTTTTCTACTTACATACATTGGACTCACAGGTTTGTTGGAATCTTATTTGTTGGATTTAAAACTTGTTATTTTGACAAATTGGGATCTAGAGGGACTGGCATAACAATTAAAAATCAAAATATGCTAAAAGGGACTGGCATAACAATTAAAAATCAGAATATGCTGGGAATAATTAATTGAAAATTCAATAAGTTTTTCTGGAGTGGAAAACCCAATGCAGTGTTTCAAGTTCTAGAAAACCCATTTAACATTTCATTTTTGGTTATGGGCTTAATAGAAGTTGTTGAAACTTCATGCGCCAATACTATACGCTGATTGCTTCCTTGGAATTGTCGAGCTAGATTTCTAGATTTAGCATAGTTAAATGGAGGATTAAGGAATTATTAGATTATTATATTTAACATAATTAAATGGAGGTTTTGTAAATTATTAAAAATACTGCAAATTGGCTTCTTCTTGCCTAATTGAATAATATCCACCTCTTTCCTGAATAATCAATGGGGTTTTACCTTACTAATGAACATGCTCATGTGACATATCATTCTACACTTTTTTGTTCTCCAACTAAAAAAAAATGTATCGGGTTATCTTATTGTCATTTCTTTTTTCTTTTTTTTATGTTTTATTTTTTTCCCCTTCTTCTTCTTATTCTTCTTCTTCTTCTAATTCAAATGTAATTTGAGTTTTTATCTTTCTTTTCCAAAGTATTTGAAAAGTAACTGCAGTATGTCAAGCGCTTTAGCCGCTAAAAGAATCCAGATTCTGTTAGACAAGCTCGAGAGTATCCTTTAATTATATGAAAATATTGCAACTTTATTTTTGTTTTCTGAACTATAACAGACAAGTAGATGAGCACCTCCATTTTTTTCTTGGCCTTTTCTTTATGGTATGTTAGTTTGCTCAAAGATTGGATTGGACTGCTACAATTTATATTGTTGGTATAAAGAGACAAAAGCTTAACCATTCTCCTCCAATCCTGAATCTTGTAATCTTGGTTGATAAAGCTCTTACGGTCTCAATACTTACTTACTTTCACCTGTGTGCTCTCATTCCTTACCAAATCTTCCTTGGATGATGATCTGTTTCCATTTGCTTCTTTAGTTACTAGTTCCTTTGTTTTCTTTATGTTATAGATGTTTTTTTCTTTATCTTCTCTTTCACTTCTTTGCCTAATGATTTTTTTTGTTGCTTATTCCTTTGTTTTCATTCTGGCTTCCCCTTTTTTCTATCTTAAGAGCTACAATCAGATTGTCAATCAAGTTTCAACATCTATTGAAACAGTCTTGGGCATTAAATTTTCTGCAACATCTGCAGGAGTCATATGGATATCCTCCGACAACAGCACATTAATTCTGGCAAACAAATTATGTGATTCGAGATTAAGATAGTTTTTCTTCTACCTCTTGCTTATGATTTGTTACAGCTATAATTTTTGTGTAATCTTCATGTTAAGTATAATTAAGTTTAGGTGAATGTTTTTCTTTGAACACTTATTAGTTATGCTATGTTTTTCTTTGAATGTTTTGGCCTCTTGTTTTGTGGATCTTGTAATCGAGTTTGATCTTAAGGTGACTCTTCTCAAAGGCCTTAGATAGGAATTGACGAGCAGGTATCTTTTACACATTGTTAAGAGGTTGAGAGTGAACCTACTGAAAACCTGGATATGTTATATTTGTTGTATGGGTTGTTGGTAAAGGTTGCGGGTGAACCTAGTGAAAACCCATGTATATTGTTTTATTTATTGTAGCATTATTGAAAACCCATATATGTTAAATGAAAATGCAACATCAAGAAAAAAGAAAAAGAAACATAACCAATTAAATATCTCATACATCTTCATAAGTCAAAATAATATATGCATGGATATAGGACGGGACTCTCGGTTTGAAAACTATATAGAAAATAAACTTTTTCAAACTTAGTCAAAAAATGTACTTTCCAATACTTAGGCTTGAAAATAGGCCGTCGGAGACTAAAATTGTGAAAAAGCCATGAGAAGGCCCGGGAACACAAATAGCACCTCGGGAGGGACCAATGTAAGTTGTGAAAACTTACGGAACTAGCACGGGACTCCTGGTTTAAAAACTAAATCAAAAAATGCACTTTTCCAACACTTAGGCTTGAAAATAGGCCATCCGGGGACCAAAATCGTGTAATGGCCACAAGAAGGCCCTGAGAACACCCCGAACACCTCAGGAGGGACCAATGTAAGTTATGGAAACTTATGAAACTACCACGGGACTCTAGGCTTAAAAAATGCACTTTTCCAACATTTAGGCTTGAAAATAGGGCATCGGGGGCCAAAATTGTGAAATAGCCACGAGAAGGCTCAAGGAACACCCCGAACACCTTGCAATGGACCAATGTAAGTTGTGAAAATTTATGGAACTAGCGTAGGACTCCCGGTTTGAAAACTAAGTCTAAAAATACACTTTTCAAATACTTAGGCTTGAAAATAGGCCATCAGGGGCCAAAATTGTGAAACAGCCTCGAGAAGGCCTGGGAACACCACGAACACCTCGAGAGGGACCAATATAAGTTTTGGAAACTTACGGAAGTAGAACGGGACTCCCGATTTGAAACTGAGTCAAAAAAATGCATTTTTCCAACACTTAGGCTTGAAAATAGGCCATCAGGGGTCAAAATCGTGAAACAACCACAAGAAGGCTTGGGGAACACCCCTAACACCTCAAAAGGGACCATTTTAACTTGTGAAAACTTACAGAACTAGCACGGGACTTCCGGTTTGAAAACTAAGTAAAAAAAAATACACTTTTTCCAACATTTAGGCTTGAAAATAGGCCATTGGAGACCAAAATCATGTAACAGCCGCGAGAAGGCCCAAGGAACACCCTGAACACCTTGGGAGGGACTAATGTAAGTTGTGGAAACTTATAGAACTAGCATGAGACTCCCCATTTGCAAAATGCACTTTTCCAACACTTAGGCTTAAAAATAGGCTATCGGGGGCCAAAATTGCAAAACAGCCACGAGAAGGCCTAAGGAACACCCCAAACACCTCAGGAGGGACAATGTAAGTTGTGGAAATTTACGGTACTAGCAAGGGACTCCTAGTTTGAAAACTAAGTTGAAAGATGCACTTTTCCAACACTTAGGCTTGAAAAATGTTAAATTGTATATTTGATTGATAAGATAATAACTGTCCTCCTTTTCCTTCCTTTTTTTGTTTTTTGTTTTTATTTTTTATTTTTTTGCTTAGTTTTGTTGCAGATTGGAGATTAGGTATGGACGTGTTTGGTAATTTGGAGAGTAGAAGCATGCTCATTTTGTGTTTTTGTTAATATTACCTTACATGTATTTTGGTTGCGTTGTAAATTTTATATTTTTGTGGGTATTAGGGGATATGTTTGGTAATCCGCACTTGATATTATATTTTTGTAGATATTAGGAGACATGATTTTTGTGGATATTAGGAGACGTGTTTGGTAATCCGCAGTTGATATTGTATTTTTTAGGATATTATGTGACATTTCAACTGTGGTGTTTATGAAAATGAACAGATTTTTGTATTGATCTGTAATAGATATTTTATTGAATAGGTTATTAACATGCGCAGAGAATTTTTAGTGAAAAGAAAAATTGAAAATTGAAAATATTACCCTCATTTTTAAAAATTGTAATTATTATTAGCGGCGAAATAAAATACCATCGCTATTCGTTTTCAAACAACATGACAAATAACTTTGTCACTAATGATATAGTTCCAAACAAATAATTTCAACACATTTGCTGAATATTTAGTCACTAAATTGAAATATTTGGCGACAAATTGTTTTTTGTCATTGAAGAATTTTGTTTTGTGCTCATTTTAGTGACGAACTTTTTTGTCACCTTAATTTATATCATTGGTGAGGATAAATTTCTTCATTAAAACCTCTATCTTCATATTTGGTGACGAAATATTTCGTGGCCCAAACAATTAAAGTAAAATATTTTCTAATTCTAGTGATGAAATTGATGTTATAGAGGACGAGAAATACAACATTTAGAGGTGAAAAATTTCGTCCCCAAAAATGAAAAATAGGCGACGAAACGATTTTTCGTCACCAGCTACTTTCAGCGACAACATATAGGCGACGAACATGGTGACAAAATTATTTTGTTGCAGATCACTTTGGTGATGAAATTTTGATATTTGGTGACAAAATGAGTTTGTCATTTTGTCACCAAAGGCTTTTTTTGTTGTAGTGCATCAAAAACTATTCAGTTTCTATTAAGTTTCACAACTCTAAATTAAGAACTTCATCACTAAAAATCAAAAATTTAAAAAGTCAAAAAGTCAAAAAATCAAACAAACCCATAATATTTTTAATTCTTGACACACACACACATATATATATATATATATATATGAAGGAGTAATGTTATGGTACATTTTTTGTGTGCAAGCTATACCATTTATAAATTTGATTATCACAAATGATATACTCAATATTATAGGAGTCATAACTAATTAAAAACAAATTGAGTTATAATCAAATATCATATGAGTTGTAACTAAACAACTCTTGAATCATAAATAAAATAATTTTATTACTAATATTATACTCATATATTATAATTAATAACACAATAAGTCATAATTATAAATATAAAAATCATAATAAAGAATGCATATGATAGACTCTAGTATAGAATTTTCCATGAAGTGAAATACACGTTGGCTTATTTTGGGAAGATAGTAAAAAGTGACTTTTTGACTTTTAACCAAGCTTTTGGCTTTTTTAGACAAATGATTTGAGAAGTTAGTAAAAAGTGACTTTTGAATTTTTTGATTAATATTTATTTATGATGTCAAATCATAATAAAATTACTAAACTACCCCCATTTATTTAAAATATTTACAACTTCACCTATGTAACACATTTTGACCCATGAGGGGTAAAATTGTAATTTCACCGTTGGCTAAAAACCAACTTCCCAAATGAAAAAAAAGTCAAAAAAGCCAACTTTTAACTTTTACTACTAACCAAAAAAAGTGACTAAAAACTATGTTGCCAAAATAAGCCGTTAAAGCAAATAGTTATCATCTTCCTAATGCGTCTGGATCACGTTTCATAGACTCCCTACCACTGGTTCAAATAAATAAACAGATAAATACTCCCAACCACCATAATTGTGTTCTTGACTCTTGACTATGCTATTATAATGGGACCTTGACTCATGTTTTCGATCTTTAATTATTTCTGTTATGGCTTGCTTACTTCTTTTTTTTCCTATAAATAATAGTTGTGTTTAAAATTTATTTAAAAATTATTGAAAAGTTAGGTTGGTAGCTTTTTTTTTAGTTAAAATAGTCAATAAAAACAAATTAGATTAAAATAATTAATAATTACCAAACGCGTTTTTCGTTTATGTTTTTCTAAAAATAAATAAAAAATAAACAAAAACCAATTTATAAAATTTTTGTAAATATAAACTGAAAATGTAAACGTTACCAAACACACCCTTATTATCCCAAATATAAATTTTTTAATCAGATTAAAAAAAATATTAAAAAAAAAGTCAATTAAAAAGATCAAATTGTCGAACGAGAAACATTGATCATGTAGCGTTTCTGAAAACTTAGGAATTACAAATCACATTTTTTAAATCATCCTAATCTTGAATTATCTAACCAAGGGTGAAATTAAAAATATATTGTCTTACGGGTGCCGAGGTATGTGCCAAAAAAATTGAAGTAATTTTGCTACATTGCTAATTGAATAAAATTTCACATATAAACATTTCTGAAAAAAGTATTTCATGAGCATAATAAATAAATCTGACAAATTTCTTTTTTTTCATTTTTTTTAAATTTTGAAAATGAAATATAATTCTCAATATATGTAATTGATTGGATATTTTAAGTTATTTTGTTAGTTGACATAATCTAGAAAATTACCTCATTAGTTCCTATATTTTTATAAAATTTATGATGAAATAAGTTCTTTAAATGAGACCTTCCACTAATTTTCTTTATTTTTTAAATGTATTTGATCTCATAAAAATTTTCTTTAGTTTTATTTACATTCATTTAACACATCCCAAGTCAAGTCAATTTGGATTGTTGCAAAAAAGTCACTCAAAGCCTCCGTTTGGGAAGCGGGTTGGCTTTTTGGTTTTTTTGGCTATTTGAGTCTGGGCTCAAAAAATTAGTTTGGGAAGGGCTTTTTAGCTTTTTGACTTTTTTTGTAAGAGAAAAGTGTAATGATTATGGGTTAGATGTGATGTTTTGTCTGTTGTGGCTCAAATAACTTATTCTGTCTTTTGTGGCTCAAAGAGACAAAAGAGCTCAAATGAGCTCTTTCCAAACGAACCCAAAGTATCTTATAGGATCATCCGTTTGGAACTAAGGCTTTAAATAATTTTTTAATTTTTTAATTTTTTATAAAAAAAAATGTGTTAAAAAATAAAAAGAATAAGTTGACTTTCTAAATTCTTAATTTTTTTGACTAAAATTCTGTACATGATCATGGTTTCATCCATGATAAGGGCAATAATAGGGGTGTTGTTCGA